AACCAACTTCCAAGAGAAGTTGTGCTGGCTCCTACCCGGGGGGTCTTTAAGAGGAGGCTAGATGTACCCCTTGCTGGGGTTGTTTGACACCGGTACTCTTTCCTGCCATAGCAGGGCGTTGGACTAGATGATCTACTCAGGTCCCTTCTGACCCTAGAAACTATGAAACTATACACTATAATACAACATTATTACCAATTGAAAAGTCATTGAGAAAATAATTAGGAGTGAAACATAAGCTAGAGTTAGACTGCTGATTATATAATTAATTGCCAACAGTCACTGAAGTATAATAAAGACATTTATATAATTATAGTATAAGTAGATTTTATATTTATATAATTACATATTCACAGACATGTTAAAGGCATCTTTTTTTCTTTGAATTTGTAACAAAACAATGCAAAGTCAGTGCTTGTTCTGGATTATGTCTTTTACCCAACTAAGCTTTCTATCTACTTCACTGTACATGTGCACAGGGAGAGCGAAGTTTATATATCAGCCCCCTGCCCTAAGGCCGCTTGCTAAAAACTTGACAGCAATGTATAGCATACAAAGGGTCTATTACATTTCTGACTTAGAATGCTTCCAACTTCAGGGCAAAAGATGGCTTTAAATCATTTGTTTTTTGTCCAAACTGAATAGAAAAATAAGATATACAGAGTTAAAATTGACTTTTTATTGAGTTAATTCTGCACCAGATGAGTTTGATACCCCTAGCACACAATATACTCCACTTGCTAGAGTGAACCTATATATATATAAATAAAATTGTATCTTTTTAACTTAGTTTTTTTTTTAAATCAGACCTTTCTTATTGTATAGGCTTTTGTATATGTTCACTCCTACTGTCTCTGAGATGCAGTTTCACCCTTCTGCCCAGTTTTGAAAACATGGGTAGACAAAGCCAGCTGAGATGACAGAGCTGGCGATGGTCTTGCTTTGGACACGGGGGCCTGGGCAACCTCCTGAGGTCCACTCCAACCCAAATTTTCTGTAATTCTACGATCGTTTGCCACAGGACGCTAGTTTGCAGGAGGCAGCAAAATGATGTTAGGAGGCAGCGTTGTCATAATGTGAAGCAATATCATCCAACTTGTGATGTCATTACGTTGTGATGCAACAGCATGTCCACATTCCTAAAATGCCTCTCAATTCACTCCCCATTCTACACAAAGATACTATCCCCTAGCTTCTACTACCAGCAATTATTTGCCTGAGAAACAAAGGCATTAAACTGTGGCTATAGGGGGCAGAAATCATTTATACTTTAGAAATAAAGCTTACACCACTTCCATTTTCCTGCATAATTTTTTTTTTGCATATCTCATTTTGGGTCATTGCCATAATTAGGGGCCCTCGCAGTGTTACTCTCACATCGATCTAGTTGAGGATGGTCCTGCTTTGAGCAGGGGGGTGGACCAGATGACTTCCTGAGGTCTCTTCCAACCCTCTTTTTCTATGATGATTCTACGATGGCAACACCTGGTATCACCTCCAATTCAAGAAATTTTGAATGAGAATTTCAGTGAGTCTGTAGAACAGCAGTGCTCACACTGTTGGCCCAAAAGGAATGCCATGATTGAACAAAGATTAGGCCACAGGAGCCACCTCCCACCAGTCCCACTTACCAGTTCGGGCCCAGGAGTGTCTCAGCCCCATAAGGATGGCCTGGCACAGCTCCTATGTGCCATGACCAGGTCCTGGTGGCCTCCATCACTTTCACCCAGCCCTGCACACCAGGATGGGGGCTCTCCAGAGATTTGGCAGCAGGAGCCTGGTGCCACTTCTCTGCTACCCACGAGGAGACTACAGACACTGGGGGTCATGCCCTTCTCTCTGGTGTGGGACAATGGCTGGTGTAGAGATGGGGAGGGAGTTGGCAGGGATCACTGAGTCAAGAAGCAGCATTGTTAGGTCTTAAATATGAAATTATCATATTGGAAGCTCAAAATTCTCGTATTTGCTGGAAAAGTATCTTACAGTAGAAAATATACAAATAGGTCTTATTTACTTTATATTGCGCATCGTAAGGTGGCAGCGAGCAAGTGAGAACTGGGTCATCAAAGTTGAAGCATTTCTTTATTTTGAGGCAAGCAGTCATAAGAAAGCACTGGCAGCAAACCCCTGGTTGAAATAACCATACAAATACAACAATTACCGGATAGCCAGCAACACTGCATCGAAGCAGGGCTGGGTGGGACCTCCGGAGGCCACCTACTCCGAGCCCCTGCAACCATCATCTACTGCGTGTCACGGACGTGATGCGCAGAAGTCCGGCTCACCCCTAGACTCCAGGGCAGGGACCGCAGAAGCGCCAGCGACAACGCCCCGCCCAGCGCCTCCAGCGCAGCCCCAGGGAAGCAGGGCAGCGCGGAGTCACGTGACCAACCCCGCCTGCATTACATTTGCATTTGGAATGTTCCATCTGCTGGGGTGGCGTGGGGAGGGAAGGACGGCTTTGCGCGCATGCGCTCTGCGTGCAAACCAGCAGCGTCCCTCCGGCACCGCGCGGTTGGGAGGCCCCGCCCTCTTTCAGGTGAGGGCGGGGGAGCTGCCCCGGTGACTGAGCGCTCCGGCCATGACGCAGTCGGTGATGGTGCAGGGTGAGTGGGGGGAGGGGGGAAATGGGGTCTCCTTTTCTCTCCCTGTGCCCCCTTTCACTCGCGTCTCTTCGCCGCTTTGCAGTGGGCCAGTGCGGGAACCAGATCGGCTGCCGCTTCTGGGACCTGGCGCTGCGGGAGCATGCCGCCGTCAACCAGGTAACTGCCGCCCAAGGGCCGCCGAGCCTCGCGCTGAGCGGGCGGGGTGGAGCGCCAAGCCCCGCCCCCTCACGACTCGAGCGGAGCGGTAGGGGCGGGGCCTCGCGTGAAGCTGTGGGGTGGCTCCACGGCCTTGAAGTAGGGCCGGTGCCTTGCCTGCCCGTGGGGTGAGTTAGTAGGCAGTGGGACTAAGGGCCGACTTGTCTCGTCCACTTCTCGCCTGCCTGCTGTGAGCCAGCAGGTTCCAACCCAAGGCTTGTCCTGGGTTAGATGTGCCTGTGGCTTCCTTTGTGAGCCAGGAGCAGCTGCATAGGAGACCCGTCAATCCAGAGTCTCTCCTAGATGTCTTATGCTGCGGGGTGCACAGGGAGGCTCAGAAAAAATTAACCTGGGTGCATCTCTGTGTGCCATTAGGGGGCAGCATATTACCCATTTGTACGTGCGCCCTGGTTGGGGGCACATTGAGGCAGATTGCAGTAGCCCCAGCTGGGAACGAGTCCAGGGGGTCAGCCTGCCAGCCCAGGGCTGCAGAGGGGCTGGCTGGGGCCTAAGGGTGCTTCAATGTCAGGGCAGCATGAATTGTAGCTCTCCTGCTGCCAAATTTCTGGACCCGTGGGGAGCCCGGTGGGTCAGATGATAGTGCTAGGTCACGCAGGCCTGTGACTGGACCTGGATGCAGGGTTGCTGCTGCTGGGTGTCATTCAGCTCACCACATCACACCTGTGGATCGGCCCCACCTGCTGAATCCAGCTCACAGGCAGAAGGTTTAAGTAAATGTGCCAATTCAAGGTGATTTTATTAAACTGCCACTAAGCTCCCATGTGGGCCCCTTAGTACACAGTGAAAGTGGCATTCATTTTCTTTGACATCGTCTGCTTTGGAAGCAAAGCAAGTTAAATCAAATGAAGGCCCATTTAACTCAGAACAAGTATGTTTGCACAGGCATTTAATAGATCTATTTTAAAAACAAATTCAGATTACCTCTTCTGAGCATCCTCATAGAGACAAGCTGTGACTATCTTAGTAAAAGGAATACTGTGACTCAAGTAGAAGTTGCTGTATTTTGATGCCAGGTGTACTTTTTGGATAATGTATACCACAGTGCAATATCATCCAGCCCACAGAGCTCCTGGATAGACCAGGAATTCAGGAGCAAGGTTGAGACCTGCCATCAAATTCTAGAGTACAGACCTGCTGGTGAGGGTTGCATGTCAGCAATGGAAGGGTGATTCATAGATTCCTAGATGCTAGGGTCAGAAGGGCCCTCAACAGACCATCGAGTCTGACCCCCTGCCTAGGCAGGAAAGAGTGCTAGAGTCAGATTACCCCAGCCAGATGCCTATCCAGCCTTCTCTTAAAGACCCCCAAGGTAGGGGAGAGCACCACCTCCCTTGGAAGCCCATTCCAAATTTTGGCCACCCTTACTGTGAAGAAGTTTTTTCCTGATATCTAGCATAAATCTGCTCTCTGTCAGTTTGTGACCATTTTTCCTTGTTACCCCAAGAGGCTCCCTGGTAAACAGAGCATCTCAGATCCCTTTCTGTGTCCCCCTAATGAATTTGGAGGCAGCCACAAGATCACCTCTTAGCCTTCTCTTGAGGCTGAAGAGGTCCAGGTCTCTCAGTCTCTTCTCATAGGGCTTGTCTTGTAAGCCCCTAACCATATGAGTGGCCCTCCTCTGGACCCTCTCGAGTCTATCAACATCCTTCTTGAAGTACAGTGCCCAAAACTGGATGCAGTACTCCAACTGTGGTCTGCCCAGTGCCACATAGAGGGGAAGTGTCACCTCCTTGGTTCTATTTGGATCACCTTGAGAGGCTAGACACCTTCAAGTCAGCTGGTCCTGACAGATTACACCCTAGAGTACTCAAGGAGCTGGCAGGTGTCATAGCCCAACCATTGGCAAAATATTCAGAAACCCGTGGTGCTCAGATGAATTACCTGAAGACTGGAAGAAGACCAATGTGGTACCCATTTTCAAGAAAGGGTGGAAAGTAGATCCTGGGAATTACAAACCAATCAGCCCGACCTCAATCCCCGGTAAGATTCTCGAGAAAATTATTAGAGGTCCTTCTTGATAAGCTGGGTGAGGGCAACATCCTGAGGGACAGCCATCTCCAGTTTGTTGCGGGTCAGTCTTGCCTGACCAATCTCACCTCCTTCTATGACCAGGTGACATATCACCTGGACAAGGGAGAAGAGATTGACGTCATATATCTGGACTTTAAAAAAGCCTTTGATCTGGTGTCCCATGACCTCCTCATGGAAAAATTGGCCAACTGTGGCCTCAGCTAGACCACCGTCCGATGGCTAGGAAATTGGGTCTGAGGTTGGACCCAGAGAGGTAGTGGTAGATGGTAGTGAATCATTATGGCGCTGTGTGACCAGTGGTGTCCCCCAAGGCTCTGTCCTTGGACCGGTTCTCTTTAACATCTTTATCAACGATGCGGACATTGGTGTCAGAAGCATACTGGCTAAGTATGCCAATAACACTAAACTTTGGGGCATAGCGTCCACACCTGAGGACAGGCTAGTGATCCAGGCTGATTGGATAAACTTAGTAAGTGGGCGGATACAAACCTGATAACGTTCAATACCAGTAAATGTAAGGTACTCCACCTCGGGAGAAAAACCCACAGTATATTTATAGGGTCAGCAGTGCTACGCTTGCTAGCACCACTGCTGAAAGAGACTTGGGGGTCATGATTGACCACAAGATCAACATGAGCCACCAATGCAGTGTCACAGCTGGTAAAGTAAACACTCTGGCTTGCATCCATAGATGCTTCTCAAGTAAATCTCAGTATGTCATCCTCCTGCTGTACTCGGCCTTGGTGAGGTTGCAGCTGGAGTACTGCATCCAGTTCTGGGCTCCACAATTCAAGAATGATGTCAAGAAGCTTGAGAGAGTCCAGAGGAGAGCCACACACATGATTACAGGGCAAAAGAATAAGCCTCATGAAGAGAGGCTGAGAGCCATGGGACTCTACAGCCTGGAAAAGCTCAGGCTCAGGGGGGACCTGGTGGCTGCTTATAAGTACATAATGGGTGTGTATCAGGATCTGGGAGAATGTCTGTTCAGAGTGCCCCAATGAAAAACAAGGACCAACAGTCATAAACTCCTCCAAGACCATTTTAGGCTGGACATGAGGAAAAATTACTTTACTTTCTGAGCCCCCGAGACCTGGAATAGACTTCCTCCAGAAGTGGTACAGGCACCTACTCAGGACTCTTTCAAGAAGCGTTCGGATGCTTATCTTGCTGGGATCATTTGACCCTAGCTGACTTCCTGCCCCTGGGGCAGGGGACTGGACTTGATCTTCAAGGTCTCTTCCAGCCGTAACGTCTATGAAATCTATTTGTCATGCATCTGCTGATGCATGATAAAGTGTGGTTAGCTTTGCTGATGATTTCATCACACTGGGGGACCAAGGGAGTGTGCTGACCATGGTTTAAGCCAGTTATAGTGGGCTTCTCAGGCAAATGGCTGTTTGTCTTCTTTGAATGGTAGAGAATTAAGCGTTGCAGGACATGCCAACCACTGTCCATGTGCAGCAGTTTCTGCTTTGTCTGCAGCAGAGATATCTAGAAGGAAAAAAGCTCTAAAACTGAGAGATGCTAATCAGTTTCAAGGCTGCTAATAGCCCCTCTGAAATTGATGATGTCTGAGAGCCCTCAGTCTCATTGTCATCTGAATCAGGGGTGCCCCGTGGCCTGCAATGTCATGTTA